TAGAAGTATTGTGGAAAGCCAGGGTGTGTGTAGTACCCTGTGAGCGTAGTGTGTTAGGCGACACGGAAAGTCAGGGTGCGGTAACCTGGTGAGTGTGTCAGGTGACTCAATGACACACAAGTATTCAGTAAAGTTCAGGGTTTGGTAACCCGGTGAGTGTCAGGTGACACGACATACAAGTTAGAAAGAGTCGTGTAACTCGGTGTTGAAGTATCAAATGATGTGGTGAAAAGGCTTCCTTAGAGATTGAGTGTCATGACACTGGTGAAAAGGCAGTGTTGTGGATACCACGGAGACGGTGTGTCAAGTGTCGTGGATACCACGGAAACAGTGTTTCTGAGAACACAGTGAAAAGGAAGTGTTAATCGACACGATGACGGAGTGTTATGACACTAGGATTGGTAGCGTCGTAAGACACCTGAAGATGGCAGTGACATATGACACAGAAGCACTAGGGTTATTATGCTGTTATTTTACTTACTTGATATTTTGTATACAACTTTGTACATAATATTTGTAGTTATATCAAAGATAAAGACTCCTTATGTTTTTATACAAAGTGTACTTATAGTAAAGATTATAAATTGTATTAGTTTATTTGTAATCCCAAACTCTCCCATATTACAACACTAGTAACAGGCTAATGAAACAAAAATACACTATCTGTGTAGAGGTAATGGTGCTTTATGTTAAACTAGTGTTTTGTAATAGATGCCATTCCAGATGAAGCTCCTGCAGCTCTTCAGTGGTTAGCTCTTCCCTGTGGTCCTGCACCAACTCTTCCACATCCTCGCCACTCACCTCCAACCCCATAGACTTGCCCAATGCCACAGTACCTTCCACAGCAGGTAGAGGGTCAGCAGAGCCAGTGTCAGCCTCAAACCCTTCAAAATCCCTCTGTTAAACACAATCTGGCCACAACTGTCTCCAAGCAGAGTTCAAAGTCCTGGAAGTCACTCCCTCCCAAGCCTTACCTATAAGGTTTATGCAGCTGTAGATACTGAAGTAATTCCTCTAGAACTCTCTTAGGGTCAATTTAGTGTCTGAGGTCACTTCAAAGCCCTTCAAACACTGCTCTTATGTAGAGTTTTTTGAAGTTAGAAATGACCTGCTGGTCCATGGGCTGGAGGAGAGGAGTGGTGTTAGGAGGCAAGAACTTCACTGTGATGAAACTGAAATCTCTAGACAGTAGGTCTACCAAGTTTGGAGGATGTGCAGGAGCAATGTCCAGTATCAGAAGGCACTTGAGTGGCAATTTATTTTCTAGGAGGTATTTTTTCACACTGGGACCAAACCCTTCATGGACCCACTCTTTGAAAATTTGCCTCGTGACCCATGCCCTATTATTAGCTTTCCACAACACACACAATCTTATTCTTGACAACACTGTTTTTCTTGAACACTCTGGGATTTTCTGAGTGATATACAAGTAAAAGCTTCACTTTAAAATCCCCATTAGAGTTAGCATAAAACAAGAGAGTTAGCCTGTCTTTCATAGACTTGTGTCCTGGCAGTGCCTTTTCCTCCTGCGTTATGTAGGTCCTCTTCGGCATTTTCTTCCAAAACAGGCCTATTTTGTCACAATTGAGCACTTGTTTGGGTTCAAATTTTTCAGTCTTTACGTACTCCTGAAATTCAGCAATGAAGCTTTCAGCTCCACGTTTGTTTGAACTGGCAGCCTCCCCATGCCACTATGTGTATGCCACTATGCTTCTTAAGTCTGTTAAACTAGCCTCTGCTGGCCTTGAAGTCACTAACAGCAGCAGCACTCGTTGCAGGTCTTTTCTTTATAAGATCGTCATGCAACTGCTTTGCCTTTTCACAAATGACCGTCTCCAAAACATTCATACCTGCTATCTTTTTATCCTTGATCCACACAATCAACAACTTCTTAACCTCTTCGACTATTTGTGGTCTATTTTTGGTTAGCATATCAACACCTATTGCAACATCAGCTTCCTTGATTTCTTTTCTCTTCACCAGGATAGAAGTGATTGTTGATTTGTTTTTGCCATATATACTGGCAAGCTCCACAAGTCGCACACCACTCTCGTATTTTTGTACTATTTCCTTCTTCATGTCTATGGTGTTTCTCACTTTCTTTACCACAGAGGTGCCACTAGCAAGTTTCTTTGGGTCCATGGTAGCTTATCTCACAGTCGCACAAGCACCAAACACAATGAATTAATAGTGAAATGTTTGAATGGGCACGCAGGTTAGTGTTCACCCAAGCATGAACAAAGCCAGACTGGCTCACGACGTCTGCATGGGGACGCAGGCAGGCGGACAGGTCTGGTACGCGGTTTGAAACATAGGGCACGTTTGATACTCGGGACAAAATTGGTGCGAAAAAAGTGGTCAAATCTCAGGGTTCCACTGTACATGTATAAATAATATATTAATAATATACTAACTACTACATAAAAAATTATACAGCACAGGGAAAACTGTAATAATGAATACTAAATGAAAATTTAACTGCCTCTTACCTGTTAGAGGAGAGCTAATGGCAGAATTTAAGCAGGAGGTGGAGGAGAGGATGGGGGATATTACTGCTTGGAAGGAGAGTTACCTTCTATTAATATGTCAGGTAAGTGTCCCTCTGGTGTTGTTTCTCTACTTTGTCATTTTCACCACTAACACCTTGCTCTGGCCCACTGGTGCTTCGTCTCACTAAAAACCTGTCCTATGAGGTTTATTTCAGGCTCCGTTTTAACACTTGTCTAAACTGAGACATTAACCCTTTCAGGGTCCAAGGCCAAAATCTGAAGTGGTGCCCCAGTGTCCAAGAATTTTCAAAAAAAAATAATTGTTATTTTTTCTTATGAAATGGTAGAGAATCTTTTTGTGAATGTAATAAAACAAAAAGTAAGAAATTTGATGGAAAATTGACGAAATTATGCTCTCGTGAATTTTGATGTGTCAGCGATATTTACGAATCGGCGATTTTGCCGACTTTGACTCCCATTTTAGGCCAATTACATTATTCCAGTCGACCAAATTCTCAGTTATTTCACTAGTATTACTTCTATTCTATCGATTGAGCACAAGAAATCGCCAAGTCAACTGTTTCAACTACAAAATAAAGTGACCGGAAATTGGTAATTTGGCCAATTTAACACAAAGTTCAAAATATTCCAATTTCAAAATAGGGTCCAGAATAAACAATGTAGGTATTCCTGGAACTAAACTAACATTTCCTCTGTTCACTAGTTATGTTTTGAGGCTTTACAAATAAATTCCATTTTGATTTTTTATTCACATAATGAATTTTTATTTACACCAAAAAATAGAAGATTTACTGTTATGCAATATTGTAATAATTGTATAAATATCATCACCACATTTGTGAATGTATATTAGACCCACCAGCTGGTGTGTATTAGACGTGTGAGGTCGTTTGTTTACTCTTGAACATCGGCAAAAATTTAACATTTCCGCCACTTTGAGCTCAATTTCAAGCCATTTCCAGTGCTAACACCAATCAAAATTATCTCTATTTCTGTAATATGTCTTCCATTCTATCAAATGAGACCAAGAAATCACAAATACAACTATAAAAAACATACGAAAAAACACTGCAAAGTCGGTTTTAATCGAAAATCATGGTCTCAGTTTTTTTCTCTCATTATACACAGTGTGCTGCAGGATTTGTTTTATGTGGTGCACACATACCACATAGATGTATTCTCTCATATCTAGGCCCAAATTTACCACTCACAGTTTATCAGAGTAAGCTGAGCTCATGACGTAGATCTACGGTTTGGACCCTGAACGTAAAGCCGTAGATCTACGGGACGGACCCTGAAAGGGTTAAACTGTCACTGTACATGTTAGAGATGGATGGCTACTGTTTTGTCTGGATGATATTTTTTCAGCAAACTCCTGCATTTCACAACTTTTCTTTTTTGTTTTCATCTCTTTATCCTTGTTTGGATCCATAATGGCTTATCTCACAATAAAAAAATGCATCAAAACTGCAAAATAACAAAAAAGTTTACAAGATGCACAACAAAACCTCAAGAGATGTTTACAGCAAGCAAGTTAGTGGCTATACTGACATACCCATGCTCTCGACTCATTAGCCAGTATGCATTGCATAAGCATGTGACCTGAGCAGCTTTGTCAAGTTCCATATGCACGAAACCTTGTCCACTGACAACCAAGGAACGTATGAAAACCGGGACATTTTGTCTCTAACACCTCATTTGAAAACCGATTTATTTGACAAGAAATGCAATTGACAACCGAGGTTCAACAGTACAACAACACTGACAAGTTGATGAGTAAGACACACAAGCAACACTGGGAATTTTTATTGATGAAACTTTCTACCTGCTGTACATGCATCATCAGTCAAATACAGAAATGAATTACGCTCCTGGAGACATCAGCTTGGTAGGAAACGAAGCAAACAAAGTGGAGTCGTGCGTACACCTTTGGTTGCCACTACTGGAACTGCTGGCACATTTTGGTAATACTTTCATCATTAGATGCCTTTCAACATTAGATGGTCTCCCAATGTCTTACCATAGTGTCAGGTGACCTGGTAAAATATTGAGTGGAGTGACACAATCACCACAGCAGCATTACCAGTGGAAGCTATATTAGAACAGGGCTAACAATAGTCCCTTTACTATTTATCTACAAGTTGAATTTCAGAAAAGGAGCAAACTTTCCCCACTAATGAGAGTAAATGGAAGGAGGGATGGTCGGGGTTATTTAAATTCAATCTGAAGAAGGAAATAAGAAATTTACAAAACTATGACTGCAATAAATATATTAAGGCAATAAACTAGAATATATTCTGTACATAAAATAAATCACAAGCTTTATTACATATTTTATGAACATGATATATTTTTCATAACATAAAAGTTTAAAGAAATGAAAGTTGAACCCTCCCCCCCCCCAAAAAAAAAAAAACACAATCAGAATAAATGTTAAAGAATTTTTAAAAGATAATGAAAGGATCATCAAGCATCACCCTAATGACGTACAGGTTTTTCTTGAACTTCTGAAGCCTCATTTTTCTTAGTAGGACAATATCCAGGGAAAGCACAACTGAAAGAGAATAATCTAAAATTAATAAAAACGATTATAAGAGCCAGGTTCAAGAGTGCTTTAGTTCCTTTAAGGCAGTGGTTCTTAACCTGGGGATAGTGAGCTGCTTTCACTGTTACAAGGAAACATACCTCTTTGAATGCCTTGTATACCATTTCAAACATTCTATTCCTGTTATATTTAACCCGTTAACTGTCCAAACGTAGATCTATATTCTTACCGCTAGTGCTCCAAATGTAAATCTACGTTTTATTTTTCCTGCCTCCAAATTTGGCACGATTGGCCTGAGATGCCTGGTCAGCATAGAATGGGTTTTAACACTCAGTGTGCCAAGTATTAAAAAAATTTGGGACCACTTAGTACCTTGTGGGAGCACCACTTCAATTAAGTGCCAGCTAGAGCAAACAGTACAGCAAACACCAAGGATTCACCGATGTCATGTCATATTAACATTCCCCTTTTAAGAGGAAAATGATGCTGACTCCGATTTTAGTGGCTTTGAGGTGGATGTAGCCACAAGTGGTCACAGAAATATAAAAAAAAAACTCGATAATAACCCATATGCAACATTTGTGCAACACCCTTTCAATTTTGGTACCACTGGTAGTGTCATCTAAGTAAAAAGAAACAATTCTGGAATGTGTCATACGTGTTCAACAGGCTGGCTGGCCTGCTGGCTGGCTGACCAGCTGGCTGGCCTGGTGGCTGGCCAGTGGCTGGCTGGCCAGCGGCTGGCTGGCTAGCGACTGGCTGGCTGATTGGCTGTCTCTATCTTCATCTGTCTGTACCTACCTCTGTCTCTAACTCTTTCTGTCTATCTCTGTCTCTGTTTATATCTTTCTCTGTCTCTGTCTATCTGTCTCTATCTTAAAGGTATGCATACGTAAATACAATTTGTAAAGTAAAAGGATACAAGTGCAATTAATGTGACATTTTATTGTGGCAACGTTTCACTCTCCAGGAGCTTTGTCAAGCCATTAGCTCCTGGAGAGCAAAACGCTGACACAATAAAATGTCACATTAGTTGCACTTGTATCCTTTTACCTTACATATTGTCTGTAATTCTACCAAAATATGTAATACAATTATACATAGTGTAAATTACCTAGGATAACCCAAAAAATCCAGACACAGTGTTATACTGTGCTTGTAGATATAATGCAAAATGAGCATGGCTGGCACCTGGCAAGTAATACACATTTTCACCTGTTCAGGAATCAGATGTTATCACGTGTAATACCAGTTGGTTCACGAGCAACCACTGAGACAAGAGAGACAAGCAAACAGAAAGACAGACACATTCAGGCAGACAGAAAGCACACACACACACAGGAAGAAGGAAAGACAGAGACACACAGAAAGACAGACACACACACACGCACACACTCGTGGAGGAGTCACGCGTTTGAGCTCGTGTTTTGGTGGTAATTTCTGACTGTGCCATAAGGAACAGAGTGTGGGATATAGGTGTGTGCATGCATAAGAGTGCATATAATCACTTAAGCCCCGAAAAAAAGGAAATATAAGTGATCACAGAAAAGAAAACAAAGGAAATAGTGACTAAGTGTTTAGTGGGGGCCGTTGGAAGGGTAAACGGTTGTGTCAGGCCTAAATAGTGTTGCCATAATAACACAGTGGGGTATTTTGAAGAATAAGTGCGACTCAAGACCAGGGAGATAAGAGATATGTATAGATGTGTCAGTAAATACAGAGTGAGTGAAAAAATTAGATGAGCTAGAGACCACAGTGCCTACAGGAAGTTAGTGGAAAAATTACCGAGAAGCATCAAGCATTTTCATACTGGGACCCAGGAGGACGACAACATTACTCCACTGGCAGCCGCAAGTAATATTCACCTAGTTTGAGTTGCATGGGGTCAGCACCAGTCTCTAGCTGGAAATTGGGGGTCACTCTCCTCGAGCTATCAGAATTAGAATAAGCAGCATTTACTGGCATTACCTGACTATGGAACTGAACTCTCCAGGCTGAGGGACTGACAACCTCAAATTCTACGACTTCAAGGGTGATGGACTGATTACATCGTCTTCACATCTCTACTGTTCCTGCCTACTTTCTGTATTCGACTGAAGAAGCCTACTGTGTAGGCGAAACGTTTCGGAATAAAGTTGCCTAACTGTTGCCTTTGTGTCTTACCTACCAACCTGTCGATATTTTATACCATTTTGATGCTCATCTTGTCAGACACTGCAACACATGGCCTCTTGGTACAGAAAACACCTTGGACAACCCTTTCAAGTGAGAACTGTTGGATCTGAGAGGGACCTGACCTATCAGTGGCTACATTCTCACTACTACTACAACTACTATGCACCTCTCCTTCCGACAGTATTTAAGTCTCCGCACTGTCGCTTGATCTTCAGATAGTTCCTGACTATGGAACTGAACTCTCCAGGCTGAGGGACTGACAACCTCAAATTCTACGACTTCAAGGGTGATGGACTGTTCCTGCCTACTTTCTGTATTCGACTGAAGAAGCCTACTGTGTAGGCGAAACGTTTCGGAATAAAGTTGCCTAACTGTTGCCTTTGTGTCTTACCTACCAACTCTTGGGTATCTTTATTGAGGAAACGTTTTGCCACACAGTGGCTTCATCAGTCCATACATAGGAGAAACTTGAAGAACAGGAGGAGAATGAGGTAATCAGTCCCTCAACCTTGAGTCGATGTGTTCAGTCCATCAATCTTGAGTAGAATACGGCAGATGAGCGGAGAAGCAGCTTATAAACCGTATGGCAGGAGAGGTGTAGCAGTCATAGGTAGTGTCACATTTGTTCAATGTGGAAGTAGGTTGTGCCCAAGAATTAGGCAAGCGAAGAATTCCTAAGTATTAAGATCCCAAGAAGTTGCAGTGTCTGACAGGTTTGTAGATGAATGGTTCAGAGAACCGACATGTTGATAAATTAGACACATGTGCAACTCTTGGGTATCTTTATTGAGGAAACGTTTCGCCACACAGTGGCTTCATCAGTCCATACATAGGAGAAACTTGAAGAACAGGAGGAGAATGAGGTAATCAGTCCCTCAACCTTGAGTCGATGTGTTCAGTCCATCAATCTTGAGTAGAATACGGCAGATGAGCGGAGAAGCAGCTTATAAACCGTATGGCAGGATGAGGTGTAGCAGTCATGGTGTGTCAATTTGTTCAATGTGGAAGTAGGTTGTGCCAAGAATTAGGCAAGCGAGAATTCCTAAGTATTAAGATCCCAAGAAGTTGCAGTGTCTGACAGGTTTGTAGATGAATGGTTCAGAGAACCGACATGTTGATAAATTAGACACATGTGCAACTCTTGGGTATCTTTATTGAGGAAACGCTTCGCCACACAGTGGCTTCATCAGTCCATACATAGGAGAAACTTGAAGAACAGGAGGAGAATGAGGTAATCAGTCCCTCAACCTTGAGTCGATGTGTTCAGTCCATCAATCTTGAGTAGAATACGGCAGATGAGCGGAGAAGCAGCTTATAAACCGTATGGCAGGATACCCAAGAGTTGCACATGTGTCTAATTTATCAACATGTCGGTTCTCTGAACCATTCATCTACAAACCTGTCAGACACTGCAACTTCTTGGGATCTTAATACTTAGGAATTCTTTGCTTGCCTAATTCTTGGGCACAACCTACTTCCACATTGAACAAATGTGACACTACCTATGACTGCTACACCTCTCCTGCCATACGGTTTATAAGCTGCTTCTCCGCTCATCTGCCGTATTCTACTCAAGATTGATGGACTGAACACATCGACTCAAGGTTGAGGGACTGATTACCTCATTCTCCTCCTGTTCTTCAAGTTTCTCCTATGTATGGACTGATGAAGCCACTGTGTGGCGAAACATTTCCTCAATAAAGATACCCAAGAGTTGCACATGTGTCTAATTTATCAACATGTCGGTTCTCTGAACCATTCATCTACAAACCTGTCAGACACTGCAACTTCTTGGGATCTTAATACTTAGGAATTCTTCGCTTGCCTAATTCTTGGGCACAACCTACTTCCACACTGAACAAATGTGACACTACCTATGACTGCTACACCTCTCCTGCCATACGGTTTATAAGCTGCTTCTCCGCTCATCTGCCGTATTCTACTCAAGATTGATGGACTGAACACATCGACTCAAGGTTGAGGGACTGATTACCTCATTCTCCTCCTGTTCTTCAAGTTTCTCCTATGTATGGACTGATGAAGCCACTGTGTGGCGAAACGTTTCCTCAATAAAGATACCCAAGAGTTGCACATGTGTCTAATTTATCAACATGTCGGTTCTCTGAACCATTCATCTACAAGACTGGACTTAGTATTCACCTTGAGCAGAGCAGATATTGAGGACATCACATATGAAAGACCCCTTGGGGCCAGCGATCATGTGGTTTTGAGCTTCGAATACACAGTAGAACTACAAGTGGAGGGGGAAGCAGGAAGGCCAGGACAAATGAAACCAAACTACAGGAAAGGGGACTACACGGGAATGAGGAACTTCCTGAACGAGGTTCAGTGGGACAGAGAACTGGCAGGGAAGCCAGTTAATGAGATGATGGAATATGTAGCAACAATGTGCAAGGAGGCTGAAGAGAGGTTTGTACCCAAGGGAAACAGGAATAATGAAAAAGCCAGGATGAGCCCATGGTTCACCCAAAGGTGCAAGGAGGCAAAAACCAAGTTTGCTAGGGAATGGAAGAAATATAGAAGGCAAAGGACCCAGGAGAATAAGGAGAGCAGTCATAGAGCCAGAAACGAATATGCACAGATAAGAAGGGAGGCCCAACGACAATATGAAAACGACATAGCAGCGAAAGCCAAATCTGACCCGAAGCTTTCATACAGCCACATCAGGAGGAAAATAACAGTCAAAGACCAGGTAATCAGGCTAAGGAAGGAAGGAGGAGAGACAACAAGAAATGACCATGAAGTATGTGAGGAACTCAACAAGAGATTCAAAGAAGTGTTCACAGAGGAGACAGAAGGGGCTCCAGAGGGAC